TGCGATATCCCATGGTCATATCATCACCTTTTGTGTCCTTCTGTGAAATTTTGGGCTCAGTTGTAGTCATAAGTCAAGGACGACCTGTATGGTTCCATAAGTAGCATTTTAATTTGCTTTTTAAGTTGCTTTTCCTTACCTTGTGCAATAGATTGCATCAGATGACCTAAATGATATATTCCAAATTTATGATTTCTTAATATTTTGTTCAGTTTCTCTTGGAGGTTGAAACATTCTCTCTCTGTATGTGCCTGTCCCTGACAGTAGCAAATTCATTGCAACGTAGTCACGTTTAGTGAAGCAGATTTTACCATTATAGCAAAAGGAGATTTATTCATAAGAAATGCATTATTAAAGAGGGTAAAATCTACCACTTAGTTAACTAGGCCCTATCAGGAGGTAAGTCAAAAGAACCTGCTGCTGTGGGCATGCATGCCTCATGTAAGGTGAGTAGAATGATCTTAATTTAGCAATACCACAAAATGAAGAATAGAGTAATAGTGAAAGTGGATGCACAGTAACTTCTTGTGGTGCTAAAGAGTTAATGCTTTTGGATTCACAGCTCCAGCAAGATATTATTTAAGCTTTACTTCAACTTGAAAATCAGTCAGTGTGATTCTGGTGATTTATAGGTCTGTTATTAAACTACATCTGTTGAGAAGACTGTTGTTCAGGTATTCAACAGAAAGTTCTACTTGACTTTAATTGTTAATAAATAAAGATTTACACAGACATTAATTATATGTTATCTTCCTTCACCTTATTTGTCAGCCAGTAAATCAAATAGGGAAGGAGTGGAAAATACCATAGGCAAGTATAATGAACAAGCTCTATCTTACAATCCAGCCTCTTTTATTATAAAAAAAGGATAGACTTCAATCATAAAAGTGGCATATATATTGCCCTTCTTTGACATAACTCTGTCCCCGTCAATGTCCTTAGCATCATTTTTCAAGTTGACGTCAAAATTTAGACCACAGACAGTCCCAAATATGACCTTCCAGCACTTTATTGTTTATAGTTAACATGTGCAATCTTTTGATTCAGTGGACACTTTGACATTTTGTTAGCTGTATTAGTAAAGATAGTAAGGAACAACCACAACTATTAAGATACTTCTCCTTTCCAACATTCCTGAGTCCCAAAGCCATTGCTCTAACCAAAGCTATATTTTATCTATATTCTAGAAAGGAAAAGAAAGGCAAAGAATTCAAAACAAAGCACCAGAAGTGCAACTCGTTGTATTTATTATATGAAAAAGGCTTGAAAATTACTTATGGCCCAGACTCATTCTTATAAATTCAGATACCTCAAACATTGTTACTGAACCCTTTTTGATTCTAAAAATGTATCAAAAAGAACCAATCGTTAGGGGGTCTGACAGATATTAAGGGAATTCATACTGACACTCATAGGAATTTACAGTGATTGATCCTTATGCATTTCTAATTTTGGCTAGAAAGTTACTATGGCTAACCAGGTTTTCATACCATAGTAACTTTCTAGCCAAAATTAGAAATGCTAACCTTTGAATCAGAGAGCACAAACTAAGTTAGGTTAGGTTAGGTTAGGTTAGGTTAGGTTAGGTTAGGTTAGGTTGGTTAGGTTAGGTTAGGTTAGGTTAGGTTAGGTTAGGTTAGGGTAGGGTAGGGTAGGGTAGGGTAGGGTAGGGTAGGATAGGATAGGATAGGATAGGATAGGATAGGATAGGATAGGATAGGATAGGATAGGATAGGATAGGATGAGATCGGTCTCATTCAAGACAATGATGAATCCGCATACAGATGGGAGGTTGAACAACTAGCCTCATGAGACGACTGGAACAATCTGGAACTGAACACACTAAAAACCGTAGAAATGGTGGTAGGCTTTAGGAGAAACCCTTCCATACTTCCACCTCTCACAATACTAGATAACACAGTATCAACAGTAGAGACCTTCAAATTTCTAGGTCCTACCATATCGCAAGATCTAAAATGGACAGCCAACATCAAAAACGTCATCAAGAAACCACAACAAAGAATGTTCTTTCTGCACCAACTCAGAAAGCTCAAACTGCCCAAGGAGCTGCTGATACAGTTTTACAGAGGAATTATTGAGTCTGTTATCTGCACCTCTATAACTATCTGGTTTGGTTCTGCAACCCAACAAGACAGACACAGACTTCAGAGGATAATTAGAACTGCAGAAAAAACAATTGCTACCAACCTGCTTTCCATTGAGGACCTGTATATTCCACGTCAAAAAGAGGGCTGTGAAAATATTTACAGACCCCTCACATCCTGGACATAAACTGTTTCAACTCCTACCCTCAAAACGACGCTATAGAGCACTGCACACCAGAACAACTAGGCACACGAAGAGTTTTTTCCCAAATGCTATCACTCTGCTAAACAAATAATTCCCTCAACACTGTCAAACTATTTACTAAGTCTGCACTACTATTAATCTTCTCATCTTTCCCATCTCCTTCCACTTATGACCGTATGACTGTATTTTGTTGCTTGTATCCTCACAATTTATATTGATATTGTTTCCTGATTGCTTATTTGTACCCTATGACTATCATTAAGTATTGTACCTTGATTCCTGGTGAAGGTTTCTTTTCTTTTATGTACACTGAGAGCATATGCACCAAGACAAATTCCTTGTGTATCCAATCACACTTGGCCAATAAAAAATTCTATTCTATTCTATATTAACACTTCACATGATCTTGATTCTATCCCTCTGTTTATGCAGCCTAGAACTGTGTTGACTTTTTGGGCAGCTGCAGCACACTGCTGGCTCATATTTAAATTGTTGTCCACTAGGACTCCAAGATCCTTCTCACAATTGCTACTATTGATCGAAGTATCTCATATACTGTATCTGTGCATTTTGTTCTTCTATTGAAACAGATTCATAATACAACTTTGGGATATTATTTTAGTGATATAAAAATACCTTAAAATAGATTGTACCACAATTAGGTTTCCACATAGAGTCTCTTAGGGATGCAATTTCAAATGCTCTCTTATACACATTAGGAACGATAAAGATTACCATATTTTTCAGACTGTAAGATGCACTGGGTTATTTAGAGGAGAAAAACAAGAAAAAAATAGTTTTTGGCCTCCGCGCGTCCCGTTTTCAGCCTCTCCGGCCCCCAGAAACATTTTGCAGGCCAAAACCAGGCCCGTTTTGATCATGTGACCATGCAAATGCTGGAACAATCGGAAGTGTGAAAAACAGTCATGTTACTTTTTTTAGGATTGTTGTAGCTTTGAATGGTCACTAAATGAATGGTTGTAAATCAAGGACTACCTATAATATTTGTTTCTATTTCAGATAGGATCTATATGAAAAACAGAAGAAAAGGCTTTTAAAAATGCAACATATGTTAATTAATCTGGTTAAATCTGACGTTTTGCTGGACACGATTGTAATTTTATCATAAGTGTATATGCACAATTATTTTCTCCAGTTATACCTAGCTAAGGTATTGCCCAAGTCAGTAAATTTTCAGATTGCCTAATCCCTATATTTTCAATACAGTATTCCTTCTGATTTCAAGGAAGATTACACTTCCTAGCAAATATTTTAGATGTACAGTTTAAAATTATTTTTCCAGAAATCAAGGCTACCTAGGAGCTTTTTCTGTGCTTTTTAAATGCTGCTTGATGGAAAAATACAGCAGATATAGTTCTATTCTGTATGGGTATAAACCTGTTTTACGTGTATAAATCTGGCTTAATAGCAGTAACTATGAGATGGATCTTGGAGTCCCAGTCGACAATCAATTAAATACGAGCCAGCAGTGTGTGGCAGCAGCCACAAAAGCCAATGCAATCCTAAATTGCATTAACAGGGACTGAATGAAGATCTCGTGAGGTACTAGTGCCACTCTATAAAGCCTTAGTGAGGCTACACCTAGAATACTGCATCCAGTTTTGGTCACCGCACTATAAAAAAGATGTTGAGAAAAGAGTGCAGAGAAGAGCAACAAAAATTATTAGGGCCCCAGAAGCTAAACATATGAAGAAGAGTTGCAAGAACTGGTCATGTTTAGTCTAGTGAAGAGAAGGATCAGGGGTGACATGATAGCAGTGTTCCAATATTTTAGGGGCTGTCACAGAGAGGAGGGGACAACCTTTTTTCCAAAGCATCCAAAGGCCAGACAAGGAACAATGGATGGAAACTGATCAAGGAGTGATTTTCTGACAATGAGAACAATCAACCATCAGAAGCTGTGGATTCTTTATCAATGGAGGCTTTCAAGAAGAGATCGGACAGCCCCTTGTCAGAAATGACATAAGGTCTCCTGCTTCAGCAGGGAATTGGACTAGATGACCTATAAGGTCCCTTCCAACTCTGTTATTCTATTCAACAGTATTCATGGTGAAACTCTTATCTCTCAGGGCTGAGACATCTTTCCTATACTGGTCTGGCTCCTGGCTCCTGGCTCCCATGGTCATTTTATTGATGACAAGATTTAGCCATTTTTAAGAAATGAAGCCTGGCCTTTCAAGCCATACCTAGAGTAATCATATTTTCTTTTTTTTAAAAAAATAAAGACAAATCTGAAAAGGGGAAAATCTTTAAGGAATACATAAGGATTTCTTTTTAAAAAATTTTTTTAAAACAGTATTGATAATTTTGCTTTACAAAAGAAAAGCTCAGCAGCAAAAATAATAATTTAAAAATGTAAAGGACAGCTTTCTGAAATTAAGGGCTGTTCTTTTTAATAAAAGTAGTATGGTCCCTGTACCCATGTCCCACACTGGGCACTGTAAAACAACCCGTGTTGGTTTAAAACAAAAATACTACATTTCCGGCCGCTATTAGCAAAAGTGGTAATTTATATTTTTAATGACAGCCTGCGCCAGCCTGCTTTCTCTATGTTTTAGTGTAAAGCTTCCCTGAACATAGACGCGAAAGCGGGACCTTAGCTGAGTCACCCACAAGGGCAACCTTCCCGGCCGCTATTTCCTCGCTTCGCACGTCGCTTTTCCGCCCTCAAGCGGCCATCACGTTTCCACACCCGATCATCAGGTAGGCGGGAAGAAGCGCTCAACTCCACCCTGTTTCGACAGCTTCGGCGCTTGGACCCTATCCGTGAGCGAATGAGAGGCTGGGAGGAGCAAGAGGGACGGAGCTCGGCTCGGGTTCCCTCTTTTTCTCCGGCCAGCGACCTGCAGTCTGGGTAGTTGCGGTGTGGCAGTTTGCTCGCTAGTTTGCCAGCGGGCAATGCTATTGACAGCGGTCTTTGCGTCGTCTCTGCGCTTTCCCGATCGCTGCTGAGCGGAGTTCTCGGCCTTCCGCGCTGCTCTCCTGGAAGAGGCTGGCAGGAATTAAAGGTAAGAGGAGAGGGTGAAATGCGGTGGTCGGGCCTGGACAGCGGGGCGAAGGATCGAAGGGCGAGGCGCTCCCGGTTCGGCAAGGTTAAAAAAAGTGATGAAGCGCGTATAATGCCGCCTTTTAGAGATAGGGTGGAAATACAATCGCCGCGTGGAGTACAAAGGGCTGAAATCATGTTTCAAAGGCATTTGACAGCAAGCATATTGAAGCCGAAGAAATCGTGCTAATTTCAGTGGGGCCGCTGTAGTCTGATGTCTTCCGGGAGTGTTTTATCGCAAATCCTATCGCCCCAAGCAATGGCGAATCTTTTATTTTGTTACTGTCAAAAGAATATTGGAGGGTATACTGGGGGCGGGGGATTGTCCCCATTTGAGCGGGGATTGCGCAACAGCAAATCGGAATGAAATCCAGATACACTCTTTGGAAGGGAAAAGATTTATTCGAGACCGTAAAGACAACGAAGTTAAGTTATAAGTGGGATATAAAGACCAGGTACTTTTATAAGGAAAGCGGTTTTTTTGGGAAGCGATGTCGGGTGTGAGACTGTACATACGTGTCTTCTATAATGTTTAATTTGGTGAATGAGTAATTCCAGTGGGAAACGGATTTTAATAAACTTCCCATATTTGCAAATGTTCTTTTTTTTTTTTGCTTTTTTTTTGCTATTTTGGGCAATTCGTTTGTGGGTTCAAGGAAGGATTTACCTGTTTGCTATTATTTGTGCAAGCTAGTTAGTTTGGTCATTAATTACCAGAAGTGGATTAGTGATCTTTGTAACATGTCTTTTTCTCTTTCTCTCTCTCCCCCCACCCAATTTTACTTTCCTATAGGAAAAACCTAAGGAATAAATTGGTTTTAAAACTGGTTTTAGTGTCATTCTCTGTGCTGCTGAATTCGATTTTTGCTCTTTCTTGGCAGTAGCCTTTTCATCTTTGAATAACCGGAATGGGCCTAATTGTGCAATAAATCCCATATTTCCCAACCAGTCTGGTCAAGACGTGCTAACTAAATGGTAAACATTGTAATTTAATAATCTAATAATAATAATCTAATAATCTAAATCTGCTCCGATTGATGTGTTTGGGCTGATCTACCTATTAATCCTGATGTTATTAATTTTCACTGTGGGTAGGTTCATATGAGATTAAGGATGGGAATTGTTTCATATAACAGTGCTTGGAGAGCAAGAAGATCCAAATGATCATACTTTTCTATATACCCTGAGATGTCAGTGCACTCATGGCTTCATGCAAGAAAAAAAGGAGTTAGTACAGGGGTGTCAAACTCGTGGCCCATGGGCTGGATGCGTCATGTGCTGGCCATGTCCACCCCCAGTTTAGCGAAGGGGGAGAAAGTTGTGATATTTCACATGATGACAACATGTCATTGCGAATTTGACACCCCTGAGTTAGTATGTCAGCAGCTGCAATGATGGATATGGTTAAGTTTGCAGTTTGCAATACTAAAAACAGTTAAACGGGCAAAAAAATATTGCAAATTCTCTTTCCAGGTAGGAATATGCCACACCTGAAGACTTTTTAAAAAGTTCACTCATGGAAGATGAGAGAAAAGGGTTTTTTTCAGAACCAGGAAGAGACACAATTTATTCCATGCTTGCAGCGGATATTTGCCAAGCTGAAATGAAAGAATGCTTCCTGGAGTCATAGTGATAGGAAAAAAGAATAGCTTTATTATGCTTCCATTACATTCCATACAAGATGCTGCACCAGGAATGACATGAGAAAAAGATCCTCAGTAAAAGAAATATCCTTAAAAATTTTATATATGTCTTAGGTGGCAAATGTTTCTGTGCAATTATCTGAACATTATGTTAAATGCTGAGTCATAAATATCTTCAGTTGATTTGTGCCTCTCTGTTGCTGTTCTCTTTATCTGTAGGAGACAAAAGCTATATATACTTTTTAAACCCATTAGTGCCCTTATAATGAAATATCTTTAAAAAAAATTTTTTTTTATTTTGCATTCAGGGTTCATCTCTTTCCCAATGACATCATAAACATGTAGGAATTTTCTCTTATATGCATACACACATGCACACACACAAACATTTTATCCTTTGTTTCTGAGTATAAATGCATTTTATTTATATTAAATTTGTTTGAAAGGGGTCCATCCAGTCCATCCTTTCTCCCTTGCTGTCAATAAGAGGTATAGACCTGATTAATTAATGATTATTCAATTTCATTGCTGAATGTATTTTTCTTGTTTTCGTTTATGCACAACTTAGAGTAAAATAATGGCTCCTCTCTTCTCTCAGGAAATGGCGTCTCCAAAATCCTTACTGAATATTCTGACCTTCACTTTTGGATCTGCAATTGGTTTTTTCCTATGTTACTTACTGTTTAATTTAAGATTAGATGAACAAATCAAGGTTGAGCCTCACATTCTTCAAAATGATCCTCATGGCCATCATTCAGATAATGATGAAAACAATAACCTGAAAGGACAAATGAATTTCAATGCTGATGCTGGGCAACATAAAGGTATTTATATGTTCTATCTGGAACACTTTTTTATTTTTTTTACATAATAAGTACCATGTTTACCAGTGGGAATTCCATCCCGAACTTCTGAATGGAGCCCTGGTGTCTGAGGTCTTCTTCGGCCCGGTACAGGTCCCCAGTGGCCACCACCTCCGCTCAGACCTTAGGCTGAGTCAACATCAGGATGGGACCTCTGTCAGCATCACCGGTGACTGCAGGACCTCTGTGTGGGTTGTGCCAGCATCGGCTCCTTCCTCCTGAGTCTTATAAATAAATAAAAGTTATTTTATGGTCATTTTAAATGCTCCACTGCCAAAAACAGAGCTGATCTAAAATATACAGGTAGTCACTTAAGGAGCACCCATTCAGCAACTGTTTGAAGTTACGATGACATTGAATGAGTGGTACTTACTACTGATTTTTGAAGTTCTAGCCATTGCAGTGCTCCTGTAGTCACATGATTGTGATGGTTTCAGTGTCTCACAATCACAAAATCACCATTTCTGACCTCCCTTGCCAGCTTTTGCCACAAGCAAAGTCAATGGGAAAGCTGACAAGAAAGGTCAAAGTTGTTTTCCACTGCTTTTTCTCCTGAAAAGTATACTATAGGAACTCATATTCTGTACTGTTCACCCACCTGCAGCCCCTCTTAGTGCAGTCCATTGTTCATTCCTGCTTTTGTGTGGTGGTGCTGCAGCACCCCCTTCCCATCTAGTCAAACTTATGCTGAATTGCACTAACCCCTTTCCCACTTGGTTGCACTCCTGTGTGCCATACCACTCCATCCTTTACCCACCTCAGAATTGTTTATATTACTCATTTTTGTAAAGGTAAAATTGAATAACATATCTCCTCATGCCTTCCCCAGATGAAAATAAAAATATTGCTGAAGACTTGTACCAGAAGGTAAGAATACTTTGCTGGGTGATGACAGGTCCTCAAAATCTGGAAACAAAAGCCAAACATGTCAAAGCTACTTGGGCCCAGCATTGCAACAAAATCCTATTTATGAGCTCTGAGGAAAACAAGAACTTTCCAACAGTGGGACTAGAAACCAAAGAAGGCAGAGACCACTTATACTGGAAAACTATTAAAGCTTTCCAGTATGTACATGAACATTATTTTGATGAAGCAGATTGGTTCATGAAGGCAGATGATGACACCTATGTTGCACTGGACAATTTGAGATGGCTCCTTTCAAAATACAATCCTGAAAAACCCATTTATTTTGGGCGAAGATTTAAGCCTTTTGTAAAACAGGGTTATATGAGTGGTGGGGCAGGATATGTGCTTAGCAAAGAAGCTCTGAAAAGATTTGTGGATGCTTTCAAAAATAACAAATGTACCCATAGCTCTTCCATTGAAGACTTAGCATTAGGCAAGTGTATGGAGAGCATTAATGTTGAAGCTGGAGATTCTCGTGATACAAGCGGCAAGGAAACCTTCCATCCATTTGTGCCAGAACATCATTTAATCAAAGGATACCTTCCCAAAAACTTTTGGTACTGGAATTACAACTATTACCCTGCTATAGAGGTAAGTTTTATTATGGGAGTGATTATAAATATTGTTATTTATTAGATTATTAGTGGTTATTAGAAATCTTTTAACTTTGTTGAACTTCTATAGTTGCTTTTTTGCATTAGCAGGATCCATGTAGTCTTATTATGACATCTAGGACATTACCATGGTTTCAGGCTTAACTTTTACTATTTCACATCTGTTTTAAAAATGGGAGATATCTGAGCTTTATGCATGGAAACTCCATCATACTAAGTTTAATGTTTTCTACTTCTAAAATACTCTGGGGAGCATCCATATGTGGAAGAGATTGAAATAATATTTCTCTGATGTGAATCTACTACACCATTACAAAGCAGTTGTTTACAATTCATATTCAGAGACAAAATACAAAACAAATACTCTCAGAAACAAAATGTTTCTACTCTTTGTAAACACAGGACAGAACCATCATGATTGAAGTTAAACTCACCTGATCTGCATTTAATTAACTATAAAACATGACTGTTTCCTTTGTTGCCTTTTGATTTTGTTCTTTTTCTTTTTCTAGGGCCCTGCTTGCTGTTCTGATCTAGCAGTTTCTTTTCACTATGTAGATGCTACTACTATGTATCATTTGGAATACTTGATTTATCATCTCCGTCCTTACGGTTATCAATTCAGATATAATCCTGATGTCTCAGAAAAACAAAATTTAAGTGAGGCTACAAAAGGTGGTATAAAAATCAAAGCTGAAGAAAATATTCCAAAAGCTTCTAAATAAGGGGCCTTGCTCAGCTAAAACTGGCAAAATGAGTTTCCTAAGTATATTTCCAAAGTGTTCTTTTGTATCCTTTTCTAATACACTGGTACATTTTTTCATATGCCAAGAGACTGCATGCAGTACTTCTATCAAAGCTTTGCTTTACTGACACATAGACTCAATCTGCACTTGAAACAAATACTTTTGTTCCTTTTCACACATGGACCTTCAACATTGTCATCCTTTTTCATTAGGATTTGAATGTATTCCCTTTTTTCCTAACAAAAAATTCACTTTCTTTGCTTTATCAAATCAGAAAATGATGAAGACATTCAAGTTTGTATATGAAAAAAAACACTTCATTCCATGAAATCACCTGAAAAAACCTGCAGCATCAAAAATGACCACAAGAGGCCAATTTTAAATAAGATTTTCTTAACAGCTTGAACACTTATATCACATTTTTTGTATCACAGCTTGAATGTTTCCATAGAATGAAGTCTTAGGATTGGTAGCCAAAAGAGAGGTGTAAATATCATTAGTAGATATGTGTAAATATAATTCAATTATTAGAATGATTGTTGTCTGAGCAAAACAAAATATTACTTCTTGATATTACTGTTTTTCATTTCTTTTGTTTATGTCATACTTTTAACTTCCTCTGGAACATGAATTCCAGAGGACGTAAGAACTATTCATTAGAAATACTTTTCTAAGTATCATTCTATATATTCAGAACTGGATTTGTTTATATTAGGATATTAAATAATGTTGCTAATTTAATATTTTTAGTTCTTTCTAGATTGCATTTAGAGTTACATATTTTTTAATTAAACTTCACTAATATTTTAGTAACAAATTTTGACAAGTACATTTTTTTCTTTCTTGATGCATTTTTCAACACTACAGGCAGTTCAGTATTAGGAATAGATAAATGTGTTGAGTTTCAAATACATCATACTAGTTTGCTCCTGGATACAATAGATCTCCTTGGGACCACTCAAAAAATATTTTGAACTTGAAGTATTTCACACATCACTATTTACTACGAACTGTGATAGAATTTCTTTTTGTAGTACAAATGTGTAGATTTCTGCTTATATCCTGCTCAGAATTATTTCATTTCCCCCCAAAAAAAGAACCTCTTCAGATTATTCGATTTATTATAACGGAAATTGATGTTTTTGAGAGAATCAATTTTTTAAATAAAGGGTACACTTTCCTCCATAAAATCAGCGGACAAAACCCCCAGCACCACAGTTGGTTACAAATTTAAATATAATTTTCCCCCCAAAGCTTCAAAATTATAGTCCCCCAGCTTTTTTTGTCTCCCAGATTCGATGATTTCAGTAAAGTGAGATCTCAGAAATGGGGGACGAATGACAAATGTAAATATTGTTACTGTATTTCTATAAATATGATTCAATAATTGAAATTGTAGTCCAAGCTAAACAAAAATTTATTTCTTCAGATTTACCTTTGATTTACTTTTCCTTTTTGAGCTTCCTCTACATAGTGAATTCCAGAGGAATTCATAACCAAGAGATTTCTTCTTCTATCGTCATCCACGGACTGATTTCAATTTTTTTTCTCTATATATTTCACTCTATATATTAAGAACTGGACTTGTTTATATTAGTATATTTTGTAATGGTGCTAATTTAATAGTTTTAGCTGTTCCTAGTTTTCATTTTGCGTTAGTTGCTTTTTAGTTAATCTTCATTAACATTTTGGTTATTTGCATTTTTTTTTCTTTCTTGATGTATTTTTCTAGAGAACGATCAGTTCAGTGTTAGGGATAGGTAAATGTTTTCAGCTTCAAATTAACCATAATATATTGCTCCTGGATTCAATGGATATTCTTTAGGCCACTCAAAAAGTGTTTTGAACTTGAAATATTTTACCCTCACTATTTACAATGAACTGTTGAAGAAATTCTTTTTGTAGTATGAATGCGTATATGTTTCCTGTTTTTCTCATAATCCTTAGAATTATTTGCATTTCCTTTCCCAAAATGACCCCTCCAATTTATTTGATTTATAATATCCAAAATTGGTGTTTGGCAAGAGAATCGATTTTGTAATTGAAAGTCACACTTTAGCCCTTAAACTCAGCTGACAAAACCCCCAGCATCCTAATTGGTTCCAACTATTCAAATTCAACTAAGATTTTTTTCAAACGTTTAGTCTATTTTTCTGTCTCCCAGCTTGGATGGTTTAAAAATGGTGGCCGAATGAAAGGTGTAAATATTATTACCGTGTTTCTGTAAATACAATTCAGTTATTGAAATTTTTCTTGTCTTGGGTAAAGAAATTTTCATTTCTTCAAATTGATGTTCTGTTTTGCCTTTTGCCTCTTGAGGTTCCTCTGTAATTCACGTTCCAGAGGACCTATGAAGTATTCATAGGAAGCTTCCTCTGGAAATCATAATCCAGGGGACATAAGAAGTATTCATAGGAAGTAGGTAGAAATAGACATGTCCAGGTTTAATTCTATATATTAAGAACTGGACTTGTTTATATTAGAATAGTCAGTCATAGTGCTCATTTAATATTTTTAGCTCTTCCTAATTTTCATTTTGTGTTAGATGCTTTTTAGTTAATCTTCTCTAACATTTTGGTTACCTGCATTTTTTTTCTTTCTTGATGTATTTTTCTAGAGAACAATCAGTCAGTGTTAGGGATAGGTAAATGTTTTCATCTTCAAACACACCATAATAGATTGCTCCTGGATTCAATGGATATTCTTTAGGCCACTCAAAAAGTGTTTTGAACTTGAAATATTTTACCCTCACTATTTACAATGAACTGGTGGAGAATTTCTTTTTGTAGTATGAATGCATATATTTTTCCTGTTTTTCTCATAATCCTTAGAATTATTTGCATTTCCTTTCCCAAAATGACCCCTCCAATTTATTTGATTTATAATATCCAAAATTGGTGTTTAGCAAGAGAATCGATTTTGTAATTGAAAGTCACACTTTAGCCCTTAAAGTCAGCTGACAAAACCCCCAGCATCCTAATTGGTTCCAACTATTCAAATTCAACTAAGATTTTTTTTAAACGTTTAGTCTTATTTTTCTGTCTCCCAGCTTGGATGGTTTAAAAATGGTGGCCGAATGAAAGGTGTAAATATTATTACCGTGTTTCTGTAAATACAATTCAGTTATTGAAATTTTTCTTGTCTTGGGTAAAGAAATTTTCATTTCTTCAAATTGATGTTCTGTTTTGCCTTTTGCCTCTTGAGGTTCCTCTGTAATTCACGTTCCAGAGGACCTATGAAGTATTCATAGGAAGCTTCCTCTGGAAATCATAATCCAGGGGACATAAGAAGTATTCATAGGAAGTAGGTAGAAATAGACATGTCCAGGTTTAATTCTATATATTAAGAACTGGACTTGTTTATATTAGAATAGTCAATCATAGTGCTCATTTAATATTTTTAGCTCTTCCTAATTTTCATTTTGTGTTAGATGCTTTTTAGTTAATCTTCTCTAACATTTTGGTTACCTGCATTTTTTTTCTTTCTTGATGTATTTTTCTAGAGAACAATCAGCTCAGTGTTAGGGATAGGTAAATGTTTTCATCTTTAAACACACCATAATAGATTGCTCCTGGTTTCAACGGATATTTTTTGACCACTCAAAAAGTGTTTTGAACTTGAAATATTTTACCCTCACTATTTACAATGAACTGCTGCAGAATTTTTTTTGTAGTATGAATGTGTATATTTTTCCTGTTTTTCTCATAATCCTTAGAATTATTTGCATTTCCTTTCCCAAAATGACCCCACCAATTAATTTGATTTATAATATCCAAAATTGGTGTTTGGCAAGAGAATCGATTTTGTAATTGAAAGTCACACTTTAGCCCTTAAAGTCAGAACCCCAGCATCCTAATTGGTTCCAACTATTCAAATTCAACTAAGATTTTTTTGAAACGTTTAGTCTCTTTTTTTGTCTCCCAGCTTGGATGGTTTAAAAATGGTGGCCGAATGAAAGTTGTAAATATCATTACGGTGTTTCTGTAAATAGAATTCATTTATTGAAATTTTTCTTGTCTTGGGTAAACAAAATTTCATTTCCTCAACTTGCTGTATATTTTCCCTACTCTTCTCATAATCCTCAGAATTATTTGCATTTTTTTTCTCAAAACGACCCCTCCAATTTATTTGATTTATAATATCCAAAATTGGTGTTTGGCAAGAGAATCGATTTTATAATTGAACGTCACACTTTAGCCCTTAAAGTCAGCTGACAAAACCCCAGCATCCTAATTGGTTCCAACTATTCAAATTCAACTAAGATTTTTTTCAAACGTTTAGTCTCTTTTTCTGTCTCCCAGCTTGGATGGTTTAAAAGTGGTGGCCGAATGAAAGCTGTCAATATTATTACCGTGTTTCTGTAAATACAATTCAGTTATTGAAATTTTTCTTGTCTTGGGTAAAGAAATTTTCATTTCTTCAAATTGATGTTCTGTTTTGCCTTTTGCCTCTTGAGGTTCCTCTAATTCGCGATCCAGAGGACCTATGAAGTATTCATAGGAAGCTTCCTCTGGAAATCATAATCCAGGGGACATAAGAAGTATTCATAGGAAGTAGGTAGAAATAGACATGTCCAGGTTTAATTCTATATATTAAGAACTGGACTTGTTTATATTAGAATAGTCAATCATAGTGCTCATTTAATATTTTTAGCTCTTCCTAATTTTCATTTTGTGTTAGATGCTTTTTAGTTAATCTTCTCTAACATTTTGGTTACCTGCATTTTTTTTCTTTCTTGATGTATTTTTCTAGAGAACAATCAGCTCAGTGTTAGGGATAGGTAAATGTTTTCATCTTTAAACACACCATAATAGATTGCTCCTGGTTTCAACGGATATTTTTTGACCACTCAAAAAGTGTTTTGAACTTGAAATATTTTACCCTCACTTTACAATGAACTGCTGCAGAATTTTTTTTGTAGTATGAATGTGTATATTTTTCCTGTTTTTCTCATAATCCTTAGAATTATTTGCATTTCCTTTCCCAAAATGACCCCACCAATTAATTTGATTTATAATATCCAAAATTGGTGTTTGGCAAGAGAATCGATTTTGTAATTGAAAGTCACACTTTAGCCCTTAAAGTCAGAACCCCAGCATCCTAATTGGTTCCAACTATTCAAATTCAACTAAGATTTTTTTGAAACGTTTAGTCTCTTTTTTTGTCTCCCAGCTTGGATGGTTTAAAAATGGTGGCGAATGAAAGTTGTAAATATCATTACGGTGTTTCTGTAAATAGAATTCATTTATTGAAATTTTTCTTGTCTTGGGTAAACAAAATTTCATTTCCTCAACTTGCTGTATATTTTCCCTACTCTTCTCATAATCCTCAGAATTATTTGCATTTTTTTTCTCAAAACGACCCCTCCAATTTATTTGATTTATAATATCCAAAATTGGTGTTTGGCAAGAGAATCGATTTTATAATTGAACGTCACACTTTAGCCCTTAAAGTCAGCTGACAAAACCCCAGCATCCTAATTGGTTCCAACTATTCAAATTCAACTAAGATTTTTTTCAAACGTTTAGTCTCTTTTTCTGTCTCCCAGCTTGGATGGTTTAAAAGTGGTGGCCGAATGAAAGCTGTCAATATTATTACCGTGTTTCTGTAAATACAATTCAGTTATTGAAATTTTTCTTGTCTTGGGTAAAGAAATTTTCATTTCTTCAAATTGATGTTCTGTTTTGCCTTTTGCCTCTTGAGGTTCCTCTAATTCGCGATCCAGAGGACCTATGAAGTAT